TAATAATTTTATTATAGTTGATCTGTTCAATCAATGGCATATAATTAATCAATTATTACAATTTAAAATTAGAAAAGTACTATTAATCAAACAATGTAAAATATTTAAATGAAATTTCCTACTTATTCAGGAGTTAAATTTAAATTCAATCAACCAAAATAAATAATGCCATACATTAATCTAAATATCAAGGAATAGATGCTTACTAATAATTTTGTATGATCTAAAAAAAAAGGTATTTGTCTTACATTCCTTCTTATATATTTAATTGTAAAAATCATTTAAATTATATATATTTTGAACAGAAGTGAATTGCAATAACATTTATTTTTATTATTTATTAATTAATTGAATTTTTAGCTGATTATACAGCTTTTTCGAGTATTCCTTATACCTATCATAAGTGGTTTTTTGGAAATATGTCTTGTATTTAATTGTGTGTAATAATAACTATTATTATTATACTTCACTATTGTTCAAAATACCTCTTTATAAAAATATAATTTCTATTAAAGAATTGATTGAACATTTTCCCATTAAAAATTTCAAAACATATTTGTAGCTTAGTTTAATACTGTAAATCCTTGAATTGAATATTTCTTAATTTTGTTCAACATGTAAAAAATTATTTATATATTATCAATAATGTTCATTAAAGTTTTTCTATTATCAAAAAAGTTATCAAAAACACCCTGTAAAAGTAATGAGCATATGGGAAACACATACACTCATGCCTAGCATATGCTTTTATAGATGCAAAGAAAAGATAGTTCTCTCATATTTTTATCTCAGCCCCTAAGTTCTTATAATTTCAGAATCTCAGCTGTTGTACAGAAATTAACAGAGAAAACAGAACTTGAATTATCTCCAAGGAATGATGATGGTTCCTTGACCATTATAGTCATTAGTAAAAGGAAAAATATATTCAATGTTATTTCTATGATATATTATAGTAATATAATGAAAGTCCATAAATTTTAATAATAATTTTTTTTGTCTTTGAAGTTTTAAATTTTTTTTTTGCATTTTAAATTTTAATATAGCAAATAAATATCCAAATTATTTTAGCATAGATATTTCAACATTTTAATATTGATTCGCAGAATACAATATTATTTCCGAGTACTTATATTCTATTGTCCTTAGAATTTTATAACCCTAAGGCACCAGCATTTAACTCTAACATCCTTTTGTCCTTCATTTAACTATACCGAAGATAACATTTTTCGGCGAAGTCACTATACGCAAATTACATATTCTTGCATTTCTTGAAACAAAAGATACACCTTAACAATGCATTTCTAATTAGGGATTTCAAATGCATGAAAATATGCGAATTATATTTACTCAATATTTCAACTTCCAATGCAGGTGCTATGCAATCTCAGTTGACTTATTTTTAAAGGATGTTTTTTTTAAGGATTACCTGCTTGGTTTGATACCTGCATGAGCAAAAAAAATAGATATGTTACCATACCGAATTGAAGGTAGGCACTAAGGCACTAAAAGTGTTCATTTCAAAATCCTAATTCCATTATTATTTTTATATTTGAATAATAATGCATGCAAAAGATACACTAATTAAAATTTTGATAGATTGATGAATAAATTATTATTGTGTGCTGTAAAAATAAAAAGCAGGAACAACAGTTAATTAAATACACAGAAAAAAAGAATTAGTTTATTCGGTAAGAAAAAATTTCATAAAGTTTTGTAAGTTTGAAATTTTAATAGACAGGATTGTAAAAAGTTTACCAATAGTCCTCAAGTTACTAGTAAAACTTAATATTGAGAGTAATTAAAACTAACACTTTCGACCAATAATAAAATTTATGAATAAGCTACATTTTATTTAATTATATTCAAAATGTGAGACAAATTTTATATTTTTAATCTAATCACAAAATCGATTTATTAGTTAGATTATAATAATCAACTTTTGTTGAAGTGCCAGCTAAATTAAAGTGTACTTCTAGAACTTCTTGACCATTAGTTTGTTGGATTGGTTTTGGCAGCACCTGAACAACCACTTCTGTTCAAGTAGCACATAGAGAACATTTTGGCTCCACACACTCTCGAAGATAAGTCTCACTCTCGTGCAGGATATTTAAATTGTGTTATAACATCGAAATAATATATTAAAATATAAATTTAATCAAAATCTTAATTAAAGGTGAATAACCCTACAGTGGTGTCATAAAAGAGTACTTTTAGTTGATTGTATCATCATAAGCTAGTTTTATTATTATTGTTATGAGATGTGGCACTGCGATCATCTGGTCTATTATACCTTTTTAGCTATACTAATCTTTATGAAAGTAACAGGGCTTAGAGGCATACTATAAGCCTAAACTCTTTTTTACAGAGTTTTATTGTGGGCTGACTCTTCATTCTCTTCGCAGAATCTACAGTTTGCATCCGTATATATACCCATTCTCGTAAGGATCAACATAACCTAAATAAATCTGAATTTGTATCTAAAGTCCATTAATTTTTTTTTATTTATAAGACTTACGTCACTTATATTTATTACCGTACTAGGGGTAATAACTGTATGTAATTGAATATTTAAAATAGTTTGTAGTCCCAAATTTTCCAATTTGTTTATTTCAAAAGAAAATTTTTCGTTATACTTAACTTTTCCAAAACCGTATGCAAGCAGCTTAGTGGTGGAATTTATTATAACAGAAAATACAGGAAATCATAAATTAAATATTGTAATATATAATTGCAAACTGTCAATAAATTGAATTTACCTCAAATACAAATAACCCATTTTATTTAATTGCATTGTTAAATTTTTTTGTGAAGAATACAAAAATTCAATCCTTTTATATTTTCTGTAACATCCTAACGTTTTATCCAAAAAAAAAAAAGCAGAAACTATTCAATAAATTTGGTTTCAAGAACAATTTTTTTCTGACAAATCTTTAAGAGAAAAATCCACAAACAAATACATACAATCACTGAAGAAGGCAATACGGACGTCAATCCGGAAATTGAACAATATCACATAAGGACATTGTGAATTACGGTAGTAAGTGTTGAACGGTAAGCCAAATGGGAGTACTCTTTTGGCACTGCGAACAATGCTTTCGTTCACTTTTAATTGAAATTATAAAGGAAAACCCTTCCTTTTAATATAGAAGGAAAAATAAACGATTCGTTACTCTTCGTTATGAATATAACAAATATTTGAGCAAAATTCTAAAGAATTAAAGGATTTAAAAACTATCAATTATCTTCAATAGGCGACGTTTGCAAAAATATTGCGGAGTATGTAATAATACTTTATAAATGTTTTGAGTTTTATAAAAAAAAAATAAATTATAAAAATTGTGACATTTTTAATTTCATAATAATATATGGCAATAGGACACTTTATTTCATAAGTTCGTCCCCCATGCAGATGCTTTTTTCGAAATTTGCTTAATGGGTTAATCGCAATAGACACCGTATGGAGCTATTGTCACGATTTTAATGGAAATTACCTAAATTCAATTTTTTCGAAATTTTATATTCGGATGTATTATATATATATAGATGTATATAATTTCAATAATTATCATTGAAAGTATGCTATAAACGACGTTCTTGATAAAAATGTAAATTGACCCCTAATTAGGTCAACTTATAACAGTGTTTGGAAACGATGGAGAGAGTACGCTTGTATATGTTCAGGAAATGCGAAGAGTTGCTTACGAAAAGTACGTTAAAACATTGAGAAAGTGATATACATAATTGTTATATTTCGTAGAATACTTATATTTATTTTATAAGTATATCACATACTATTATTAAGTAGTATGTAGTATTAAGTAGTAAACTAATTTAAAGTTTCAAATACAATAAATAATAAATGTATAAGAAATATAAATATAATAGATAGTACATTATATAATAGTATATTATGAAATATAATATAATAGATTATAAAATAATAGATTTTTTAAATGAAATCATTTTATATTTATGTTCCATATATATTATAAGTAATTATACTATAATATGTAGAAGGAACCTCAAAAAATAATTATATGAGAAATAATATCAAATATATACATAAATATATTTGTAATAATATTTTTAATAATATGTATAATAATTCATCACGTAAATTTTTGATCACACAGAAGTATTTTTTTTATGTGTACACAATCGTAACGTATGTTATTCAATCCTATTCAAAGTCTTTGGATTTTTCTTTCCAGTTACTACAAAACGGACTATGGAAAATCAATGCATGACAGACTCTAGGACTTTAAAAGATTGCTACATTCAGAAATAAGATATCATTTTTTTTACGGTAAGTCTTTATTTTATTGCAACCACATATATTGTTTTTAATAAGTAAATTTGAGTACCACTCAAAGACACCTGTGACTTTAGCGGTAATAGTTAGAAACATTGATAATGATTTGTGGTGATTTAGTTCCATTGGGGAACTGTCGTGCATTTAAATATTTAAAATTGAATGAGCATTAACGTAAAATAAATTTTAAAAAATTAATATATACCACCATTATATTATATGTATATATAATTATCATTTAAGAATTGACAATAATAATATAGTATTTAAGTTTATACAAAGATATATTTAATATTGCCTTATTACACATACACTAGTTGTGATACGAAAATTTCGCTCAGATCTTTTGTTTGACTATATCATCCACATCATAAAACTAATTGAATAACACCGAAATAGTTTATAAACATCCTCACCAGAGCCAATCAAGCATACACCATGTGCTGAAAATGTTCTTTCGATCCAGCCATCCTGATAATGTCTTTTTTGCCTAAATCCATCTTATGAGAAAGGTTTCAAAACTTATGGCCAATTTTAATCAATTGGCCACTTCACCTAGAATCCAGAGCATGTACTTCTTTTTCGTTC